GGGTCAATTCTGAGTCGATCTATGACTATGAATTTGGACCCCACTTTTCGACCCCGAACTACCCCTATCCAATATTGCCGACAAGGCCATAAAAAAATGTCTCCACACGTATGTGTACATCGATTCAGGGGTCAATTCTGAGTCGATCTATCACTATGAATTTTGACCCCACTTTTCCACCCCTAACTACCCCTATCCAATATGGCCGACGAGGCCATAAAAAAATGTCTCCACACGTATGTGTAGATCGTTTCAGAGGTCAATAGTGAGTCGATCTATGACTATGAATTTGGACCCCACTTTTCCACCCCGAACTACCCCTATCCAATATGGCCAACACGGCCATCAAAAAATGTCTCCACACGTATGTGTAGATCGATTCAGGGGTCAATTCTGAGTCGATCTATGACTATGAATTTGGACCCCACTTTTCCCCCCCGAACTCCCCCTATCCAATATGGCCAACACGGCCATCAAAAAATGTCTCCACACGTATGTGTAGATCGATTCAGGGGTCAATTCTGAGTCGATCTATGACTATGAATTTGCACCCACTTCCCCCCCCCCAACTACCCCTATCCAATATGGCCAACACGGCCATCAAAAAATGTCTCCACACGTATGTGTAGATCGATTCAGGGGTCAATTCTGAGTCGATCTATGACTATGAATTTGGACCCCACTTTTCCACCCCGAACTACCCCCATCCAATATGGCCGACAAGGCCCTAAAAAAATGTCTCCACACGTATGTGTAGATCGATTCAGGGGGCAATTCTGAGTCGATCTATGACTATGAATTTGGACCCCACTTTTCCACCCCGAACTACCCCTATCCAATGTGGCCGACGAGGCCATAAAAAAATGTCTCGACACGTATGTGTAGATCGATTCAGAGGTCAATACTGAGTCGATCTATGACTATGAATTTGGACCCCACTTTTCCACCCCGAACTACCCCTATCCAATATGGCCGACGAGGCCATAAAAAAATGCCTCCACACGTATGTGTAGATCGATTCAGGGGTCAATTCTGAGTCGATCTATGACTATGAATTTGGACCCCACTTTTCCACCCCGAACTACCCCTATCCAATATGGCCGACGAGGCCATAAAAAAATGTCTCCACACGTATGTGTAGATCGATTCAGGGGGCAATTCTGAGTCGATCTATGACTATGAATTTGGACCCCACTTTTCCACCCCCAACTACCCCTATCCAATATGACCGACATGGTCATAAAAAAATGTCTCCCCACGTATGTGCAGATCGATTTAGGGCTCAATACTGAGTCGATTTCTAACCATTAATTTTCACGTGTTTCCACCCTCAACTACCCTTTTCGAAGGTGACTGATACGGTCATAACAAAATGTCGTTACACATTATAATTCCTAGATACTTTCAATTGAGGTGTGCTTTACTTGACTAGCTAGACGCTATGGGCAAACCGACCTCCTGAGATAAATACCATATTAACCTTTTTTCGGGAGAGCATGCTGTATTTTCAATGAGAGTAAAACGCAAATCACTATTCATAATCAGTCTTTTTATTCTCATGTTTATTAATGTCTTTTTCGGTCATTTTTAAGACCATCTGATACCCACGACTTCAATACTCCCGGTTCATTCAGTCTTTCCGTGAAATTTTTTCTCCGTTCGTTCGGTGTTTCCTCAGCGGAGCTCGTCAGTTTATCCTGCTGCACATTTCTATTTTTCACTGCGATGTTTTCCCCATGCTGCACAATATACGTAACCGGTTTCCGGGAGCAGCCGGCGTCGACCTTCTTCAGCACTAGTCTGCTAATCTCTAAAATCAATGGAAAAATTGAAAATATAGTTATTGATCACACATCTTTATATACCGTGCTAATCTGTTATGCCCCCCGTCAACTTCATAGAGAAAATCTCAAAATGAGACTTCAAACGATGAATCAGCCCTGTACCCCACTCTTTTCGTACTGTTCATTATTTTTCGAAAAATTCAAAGCAATACCAAGGGAATTCAGCTTTCGAAGGTATTCGATTTTGTACTGTACCACCGAAAAAGGAATGAAAACGAAATATAGATCTTCATAAGCTCCCTTTGCACCCCAGGAAGAAGAAACGAGTCAAATTTCAGGAGGAGTTCGTCTAGCCTTAGTCCACGATATCGCCACCGGCCTAGTTAACAATAATTTCCTTCGGCTTGACACATTCACACGCCTTGTGTCGTGGAACATCGACGGTGCCCATGAACTTTGGGAGCATAGAAATTTCTTGAAACAATTCGATTTAATCGTAACACAAAACACTCACCTGCAGAAGAAAAACGAGGAAAAGGTACTGAGGAATTTCAGGTGGGCAACGCAGCCGGCTGTTAGGACAAGCTGGAGGGGGAAATCTATTCGCCGTGAGAATATCCTGCAGCAATACTCTCGATGTACCAGAATGCGACTGTGGAAGACGGATAAAGGGACTTCAATCTCCAGAGGGAAAAACATGGGAAAATATCCCAATCTACAACAACAACATAACTCAACTGACCATAGGCAATTGGAATGAGCACATTGGGGCTAGTCAATGCCAGAGTGATCTGCTGTAAGAAATGAGTTTCTACTATGAGAGGCACTCAGATAATTCGGGGCAGAATGGAGAAGGGGAAGCACTGCTGGAATTGCAAGCACTGAATGAATTACTTATATTGAACCGAGAAATTGAGGGTGATAGCCTGGAGAGATTCAGATTCCTGGTCGGATCTTTATCTGTCCTGAACTTCGCCGTCATCAGCGCAGCCGATGCCTCTAAGGTGGTGCAGGAGCTGGCGGTTATAGCACTACTGTTTCTTACTACCTGCCACTCTGTTTACGAGTGAATCTACTCCAAACCAGGAAATCCCCCCTCCGGGAATGAACCAGAGGAGACTGGGATGCCAAAGGAGCGATTGCTCTGGGATATAGCGAAAGAAAAAAGCTACTAAGAAGCTATAGATAAAAGACTCTCAGAGTTTGACATTTTTCAGAGCAGTTTTATATCGCACCTGAACATCGTTAAAATCAACCTTTCATTTCCTTTATGTTCCCTTCAATGTCGGAAGGGGGCGGGGGCAAGCATTGTCGAACAAATGAAAACTTTTGTCATGAACAACTACTTCAAATTGTCGTATAACATTTTCCGACAAGTACAACAAGAACGCAAAATTTGATGATGGTATGGAAATATTTAACTGAGCCACCTGTCGAAAGATGATTAAAAATTTCTTACCAAGACACTCGATATCATTATTAAACTATTCCAATATCGCAGTAGTAATACTTACTCCTTACGTCCTTTAGTAGTGACGTCATTGCATTTTTGTCCTTGGTATCTATGTTCCGAAATTTAGCCGTGCTGCGTTCGTGGACCTGCATGAGGGCCAAGGCTAAATTTTTTACCATTGCTGGTAGCATAGCTGCCTCACATGCTCTTTCAAAATATTTAGGATCGAGGTTGAATGAGCGTTTCTTGTCGCCATTTCCTATTGTTATAATCACCTGTGAATCCAAAGAAATATTAAATTGTCTCTCCTCAAAAGAAGGTATTCATTTTTTTTTTGATAGAAACTACTGTTCCTAAGTTCGGAATAGGAGTATTGTATTTGGGCTATCTTACATTCCCGATTTATTAGCTGTCATCGACGTATTATGCTGACGAAAAATGTGGAAATGAAATTTCAGACTTTGTCCGCGCATGTATGTCTATGCGACAACGTTTTTCGTTAGTTGTAAAGGTTTTCTGCCTCAAATAAAACCATTGCTTTAGTCGGTTTTTAACGGTAACTAGAACCATAGTAATTTGACGGTGACTCTGCAAATTTGTTTGAAGTATTTTCAATCACCTGGCCAAGAAATCATTTCAAATTTTCAGTGTGTAAAATTTGTTCACTCTTTAAAAGATTTGGATCTCGCAGGTACCTTTTAATTTAAGTTTTCGAATACAAAACTATACATACATACACACATTACAGGATAATTTTAGGTCTGAATGCAACAGATATTTATATATTTTCTCTTACGGATTTTCCTCGCTAGCATTATTTTATTGTTACATTACTCTCTGACTCAATCGCACCTGTCCATTGCCATTGTAAGTTATTTGTCAACCTATCCCCCCCCGCATTTATTAAGCTTAGCTACTTAATTAATTCGGACAGAGCTTTCTTTTGTTTTTGGCGTTCAAATAAATGTATTTTTTGTATTGGTGCACCTATTGCTGTTACAAGGTTGTACCTTTAGAAACAGAATGAAAATAAATAAATATTCTTCAATGCAACAGATACCAAGTCCAAATTATTATTACAGTAATTGTTTTAGTTACAATAGCAATTAGTTGTTAGTTGTTAGTTGTTAGTTGTTTTAGTAACTCTTGAAATACGTATAATAGGAGTAGTATTGGGAACAGCAGTAGAAAACGTCAGGTATTAATAGTCTGAATAGAGGTATCAAATATGGAATATGAGTAGTGGTATCATACTACTTACGATCATTAAAAGAATTCATGAATCACATTCGAACTCACCACATCCTTAGAGCGATCCTCTGTGCGAGTTGATGATTTCTCCGCCTTCAGTGATTCCATTTCGCGATACATTCGTTGGAAGTCCTTCTCTAGCTTCTCAATTCTTTGGGAACACATGCATTCTGAGGCCTTATATGTCAATGAGGTGGAAAAAAATGAGTTGGTAAATGCTGGGTGTCACATTAGAAAGAGCACAAACAAAAAGAAAAAAGTGACGCATCCATCCTGAAATTTCATCGGGACACGCAGGAGCGTATCGGACAAGTATTCATTTTAAATTATGTAATAATCATTTGCATTATCGACATTCTCACTTGCCGTGGTTTGGAAACTCATCTTTTCCAGCGTACCAACAAGTGCTCATCGATCAATTTAAAAGAAATTTTCGCTTACGTGAACAATTATGTTGAGAAGACGCGTCAAGTACCGTTGGTCCTGACTTATTTTTTGAACTTTTTTTTGTTAAAACAACAAAATTCTAACCTCTCGGGAATTAACGGAAACTGAAGGTAGCGATATTTACAAATCACATGAGTTTGAAATTGCCGTCTTGTATCAAACAATATTTTACATCACGCTGTGCGAAAAAGTGACTTTTAAAACACACTGTAGAGAAAAAAAGTTGTTTCCACGCATTACGATTAAAACATTCGTTCGATACTGGTGGAATCAAGGATAATACCAAGAATTTCACAGCAATATTTGGTAAAAGCAGAGAAGTAAAATGGCATATATTTGGAGGCAAGATTTACGTAAATATTTAAACCATGAGAAATGCTGAAATGCCATCGAGAAAATAGTGAAATGATACATTAGTGATAACAGTTTACTATAGAAATTTTATATGGATACGCCAGTTTTTTCAATATAGTTTTTGAATACATTTTTAATTATTTCTGTCATGGTAAGTTCTTCTATACTTACATGAGTTAATGTGGCCGGCGGACCCTGGCATGCATATGTCGGTGGAGAGAGCGCTCGGAAAGAATCAGGGGGTGACATGGCCAGCTCTTCTGAAGATTGGTCTGACATAAGCCCAGACAGCGCTTCAGGAGAATCTGAGAGGCACGTGGGTGGATTATCAGAGGGAGACGTGGGTAGGGCTGCGGAATCCTTGTTTTTAGTTGAGACTGAAGCTTGGTGCGATGATTCACTACGAATGTCAGATGAGCCCTCTGATTCCTCGATTCTTTCACGCTGATTCTATTTAATAATAGAGTTTCTAGTCAAGAATTTTATTTAAAAAATCGCAATCTTCGAGCTGTAAAGTCTCAAAATTCAATCTGGAATTACTTAATCAGTAATAATCAACTAATTGGTGGCTTAATTGACTGATTAGTTAGTTAACACTCCGATAGTCGCGCTATGAGCGCGGCGCCGCGTTTTTTTATATTTTTGTGATAAAATCTCACAAATGCGTCTGAAAAAGCTGAAAAAATGGGACATTCTACTTTCAACTGTCTACAATGCTTATATGTTATCATTTTTTCAAAATTTCATTTCCACCGTTAAAAAAATAATTTTTAATGAATGGCGGACCCCGAAATCGGGCGCCGTGCTCACGGCGAGACCGAACTCGTAGGTAAAATTTTGCGGGTGACGTTGCCGCTTCAGTGCGAGTAGTGGTCAATTGGTGGGAGTGAGCTGATCGGCAGCTAGGTGGGGAGTAGCGGCGGATAAGTTGATGTTATTATTTTTATTTTCAGACACTGAAATGTCCAACTACCATGAATTTATCAATAAAAATTTTTAATTCCTCAAATGCCCATTTGTTTTCCAACAAGGATTATGAGTAAAAAAATAATCTATTTGAATGTGAAATCCCGTATATTGAGTGAGGTTAGGTGTCAACTAGAAATTGCCAACGTAAACGGTAATCATTTTGCAACTCAATGTTTGTCTTGAGCGCGCGAAAGCAGGCTGCGAGAGCGTGGCAACGCCGCTCTCCGAAAAGCATTGCGGCACAGCACCTACGGCGCGACCAGCCAAGTGTTAATGATATAAATAATCAACTCATTCTTTATCAGCTCTTGGAAATGAATGAACATGGACCAACTTTCCCAAATTAACTGACGAATTATTTTATTTTCAAGATGCATGCAAGAAAAGGACATGGAAGGAAATTTTTTTTTTAACTTTAGGATTTATACGGTACCTGTGCGTCATCAAGGATTTTACTGAGCGTTTCGCTGCATCGATGCATTGCAATTGGCTTCCAATGAGCGATTTTCCCCTAAAAAATAAAAACGGTTATAAGGAAATTTTAACAACGTGCTTGATCAGACTGTTGTTCGACAAGCACATGTGTCGTCGCATTAGCTAGAGTGTGAGTGTTTTCAGGATGTACAGCATATTCACGCTGTGATTCTGTCGAAGCCGTCAACTCGAGGCTAGATGCATTCAGTGCGGCGAATTCTGACCTCATGGTGCCAACTTAGGTACTTAGACGGTTGCATTTTCTTTGTTTTCTCCGGATGATTTCTGCAAAAATACAATAATTGTTAGTACACCAGTTTAAATAACGAGGTGTCCATTTTACCCCACCCTCCCCTATAGCTGCCATCAAGTGCAGATCAGATTATACTGATTATTTGACCAAAATTGAATTATTTTTGAAATAAAAATTATTTTTTCAATTATTGTCATTTGTTATTGAAAACAAAAATTGAAAATTATTGTCAAGTAGGGGAGGGGGCGGTGTAAAATAGAGCCCCCACTAGAAATATATTTTTTCATGTGCTGGAGTATTTCGTTTGAATTACAAAAAACAATTCATCTGCGTTTCGTGCAAATAATGTTGAATTGATCTCGAGAAATACACGTTCATTATTATTCAACAATTAAAGAGGTGAAAAAATTCCATACATGAAGCATTCTTTGTCAAGTGGGCCATCCATTTCCTTCATATCGCCAAATTATTTCCATTTTTCTCTTAAGCAATTATCATATTTTTTGGAATTTTCTAAATTTTTTCAGATTTTTGGGATTGACAAATGCGTAGGTGTGAATAATTCGACTTTCTTTCTGATTTCACATCTTTAAGGATTTTATGGCGTGGACTCGGGATGAAAAAAAAGCAGCCAATTTTATGAAATTTTTTCCACATATTAATTGATTCATTTAGACACCCCTTGCAAGATTTCAAGAGCCCTACGAGAAAGACATCAATAAAAATTAATTCTAAAGTTGCTACTTATACATGGAGTTAGAGGGAGTGTCGATAACTGATGCATTTTCCCTACATTATCCAACAGTCGGCAATGTGGAAAAAATACTGAATTTATTGATCACCCAATCAATCTCGTGTATAAGTAGCAACTTTAGACTTAATTTTTGTTGATGTCTTTCTCGTGGGGCTCTTGAAATCTTGCAAGGGGTGTCTAAGTGGATCAATTAATATGTGGAAAAAATTTCATAAAATTGGCTGCTTTTTTTTTATCCCGAGTCCACGCCATAATATCCTTAAAGATACGTGAAATCAGAAAGAAAGTCGAATTATTCACACCTACGCACTTGTCAATCCCAAAATCTGAAAAAATTTAGAAAATTCCAAAAAAATATGATAATTGCTTAAGAGAAAAATGGAAATAATTTGGCGACATGAAGGAAATGGATGGCCCACTTGACAAAGAATACCTCACATAAAAAAAATTGAGACTCTAATTAACATTTCGAATTATTTGCAATTCCATAAAAATTCCTTCAGCAATAATCTTTATTGTATATTTTTTCCTGATTGATTGATTATGAATTTAAAAAAAAGGGAGGTCTATTGTATCGTCTTCATCGCTAAAAAAATAGCGACACATTTTACCCACAAGGTCCATTTTACCCGCCCCTCCCCTATATGTCTGTTAATTAGTAAAAAAACAATCGATTACCTCCTGTTCATGATGTTCTTCCGCATTGTTATTGTTTTCTTCCACTCGTTTCTTCTTTCTGTCTGCTTCATCTTCTTTTGCCCTCCACATTACACCACCCGGGCGTAACCTCTTAAAATCTTCTATTTGTGACATTCTGTCCCTGACTCGAGTAATCGAATGATTATCCTTTTGTGCCACTACACTCCTTGCACTACAGTCCTCACTACTCTCTGTGGAACTTGACGGGAGAGGGACAAAATCGGTGTATTTGGCCGGTTTTGTTATGACTCGCGAGGAGGGTAGTCTGGAGAGACGATCCATCCTTCTGGGACGAAGTCAGCGGCGCAACTGAGTCTCGAGCGTTCGTAGAAATATACTACAGACGAAGATACGTTTATAAACAAAGCCCTAAAAAAGGAAATAATTGCCGATAATTTGACGTTAAACCATCAGCAGTTTAGCGTCAAGTTATCGGCAATCATTTCCTTTTTTAGGGCTGTATTTATAAACATATTGTTTTAGTCGTTTGTAGTATATTTCTTTGAATGCTCGAGAGTCTGTTGCGCCGCTGACTTCGTACCAGAAGGATGGATTATTTCTCCAGACTACCCTCCTCGCGCATCATAACAAAATCGGAGAATATACTCGTTTGGACCAGTTGCCAATGTCCCTTTTTTTTCCTTTATTGCCAATGTCACATTGCAATTGGAATGTGAATCGCTAGCAATGTGAATCGGTGAAAAGCTGTATCGGAGATAAAACAAACGATCGATGGTTTCATCCGTAGAATGAAACGTATAGTGTCCCAGACAGAAAAATTCGATAATCTATCCGCAAAAAGAACGGCAATTTGCGGATAAATTGTGGCAAATCATGTATCAGACATGCTATTTGGGATACTATTGAATCTTTGTGCTCCCACTATGCTGATACTAGTATATTATGAGTCGAGTTTTTTACAACAAAATAGCCCCCTTAAATTGCCGCAAATTTATTTTTAGAAAAAAAATAACTCACATGCGCATGCCACGTCCCCAAGATACGATTGAAAATCGGCCGGTTGAATTCAGTCTGTCTCCAGTACTAAACCAATTAAGACGTGTCTTCATTTTATTCCAAGTATTTAGTTTAATTCAAAGGGCTCTACTCAGTTTATTCAAGAAATAGTCTCCTAATTGGAAAAATTACGGCTGACTTGCTGTAAGTATAAATTTTAAGTCGTAAATTAGTTGAATTATAATGATATACTATAGG